ACTAATAATAGCAGCATGTTATGCATCGATAGTAGCGACAGCTTTTCCAAGTTCTGCAGTCATCTAAACAAAATTATAGACATTCAGCACATTCCATTAAAAAAAAACAAAAAAAAGCCCCAAACAACAAAACAAAACAAAAAAACAAAGAAAAGAATAATATCCAGAAAACAGCAAAGTTCTGTTGCTGTTGTGGTACCTGGCACCATTTTTTTTATTAGCATCTTAATCATCATGTGGAAAGAGAATATTCTAGAGTAATATCATTAAATATAGCTCTGATAAAGCATGGTCACTACTATGTATCATAAAGCAGGTGCAAGACATTTTACATTCACAGAGGTATGATACAGTACCATCCTACATCAATAATACTAAAATAAGTTTTGGTTTGAAATTTGCTTTGTCGGGAAATAAGATTCCTACCCCTGTTTTTTTCTGGGCTTCTGTCACATGGAGAATTGTTTTCTATTGTTTCACTTTCAGTTTATGGGCTTCTTTTTGCACTAGGTGTGTTTCTTGTATACAACATATTGTTGGATTTTGCTTCTTATTCCTTTTTGCCATTCTGTTTCTCTTGATTGGTGAGTTGAGGCCATTGACATTGATAGTTATAACTGATATGTACTGACTTATTATTGACGTGTTATTGGTCTCTTGTTGACTCTTTTTACTTTTTCACCTTCTCATTTTAATTTCTTGCCTTGCCTATCTGATTTGCTCTGTTGGGCCTCATGGTGGTGTTGCCTTCATTGTCTTTTTCTAGGATCTTGTTTAGAATTGCTTGTACTTCTGGTTTGGTATTCATGTAGTTTCTCAGGTGTTCTTTGTCGTGGAAGTGTCTTATTTCCCCATCCATTTTGAAAGAGAGTTTTGCAGGATACATCAGTCTAGGTTGGAGGTTGTTCTCTTTTAGTACTTGAAATATCTCATTCCAGGCTCTCCTTGCCCCAAGGGTTTGTGTTGAAAAGTCTGCTGTGATTCTGATGGGCTTTCGTTTGCATGTAATTTGTTTCTTTTCTCTTACTGCTTGTAGTATTTTGTTCTTCTCTTGGGTTTCTGGGATCTTGATTATTATATGTCTAGGTGTAGATTTTTTTTGACTGTAGCTAGTTGGGGTCATATATACCTCAGTTATCTGAATGTCAAATTCTTCCCCTCTGTTTGGGAAGTTTTCTGTCATTAATTCTGAAAACAGCTTTTTTAAGTCATTTGTATTTTCTCCTGCTACTTCATGTATTCCTATCAGTCTTATGTTATTCTTCTTTGCATCATCTGGTTGTTGGATCGATTTGTCATGATCCCTTACTGTTTTTAAGAGACTTCTCTTTTCATGGTCACTGACTGCAATCTTATCTTCTATATCTGAGAGTCTATCTTCACATTCTTTTATTCTGTTGCATACACTTTCAATGGAGTTTTTAATCTCCTGGATATCTGTTTGAATCTGTTTTATGGATTCCATTTCTTTCCTATGTTGGGTGTTTATTTTTTTCATTTCTTTCTTATGCTGGGCCTTCATGGCTTCTATCATGATCCTGAGCTCATCTATTTTTCTGTCAGTTTCTGCTGTAGATTCTTGAATCACGACTTCCATTTTGTTCACTATCTCTATGGTTATCTGGGAAATTATTTCTGTTTTGAATTTTTCTAGAGCCTGCTTGATCTGTTTTGTTACTTCCTGTGCTATGAGTTCAGGGTGTCCTGGTGTTTCACTATTGGCCTTTTCATCCTCATTTGCCCTACTCTTTGCCATTGGTGAACTGGAAGTCTGTCTTTATGTCTTGCTTAAGTGTTTTCTTACTTTTATTTTTGTTGTTGGACTGTCCTTGGTTTAATTTCTGGGTTATCACCCAGATCTTCCTGATATAATTGTGTGCTAGCTTCTGTGTCTCTAACAACCCACAGACATTCTCATCTTCATAACTTCAGAGGAAACAGCTCATCAAATCAATCGCAATACTTTATCCCAACTGATATAATCAGCAACACATTAAGATCAAGCACAACTTGGAAACTGCTCACCTGTGGTTGTCACTAGTCTATCACCCTTAAATTATCTGAATTAAATTGAAATCAAGAAGCAGTCCAGAACATGTCTGCAGTGAACAATATTTCAATATATTGTATTTACCATTTAATGACTCAGATAGAGCTAGGACGCAAGACCCCTGGTCTCAGTTAGCTGATGGCTGAACCCCATGATGTTGACTGACCTCTGGCTGCAAGACCCAGATTGAGTTCCCCAACCTTCTGAATGGTTGAATTCCACACCGTTCTACTACAGGGTTCCCATACCCTTTCTTTAAAGATGTTCAAAGTTTAGAATTCAGAAAAATACCCTTGATGACCACCTCTGCCTCTGCAGAGTGGGTCCAAAGACTGGCACAGTCAGGAGGCCTGAAAGTGTGCATGGGGGAGGAGGGGTGTAAGGGGAGTTATGGGGGTTCAGAGTTGCCCGCGCAGATACCTTCCTGGCACTGGAGTGATGCTGGCTGGGGTGGGAGAAGGTGTGTTTCTCCTTCCAGCAGTGAATGGAGGCCCAGGCTACCTCCCGGGGGCTGGAGCAATAGTGGCTGGGGGGAGGGTGGGAGAAGGCGTGGCTCCCAACAACACTTCTAAGAGGGATTTGTTCCTGCATTATAGACAATCACACCTTCCTCTGCAGTTAGGTCTCATGGTATGACCCTGCCTGTGAATACTTCATTGACAAAAATAAATTTCATGAAATTCTTCTTCAAAACTTCCTTCCAATTGTTTCTTATAATTCAAACAAATTCAACACCCACCTCCCCAAACTTAAAGCATGACATGAAACTGTAATTTCCTCATATTTCTTGAAAGTTTGGTTTAGGACAGCAATTTATACAGTAAATTATGCTTTTCTAAAAAGTGGAAAGGCCTGTGGTCATCTTTTTACAGGAATGTTTCCCTTTGTCTCTGTAATATACAGTTGCTGATATAGATGAAATATTTATTTGTCTGCTTATATTTGCTTGCTTTTAAAAATTGAGAGGATAAATACTTTACCCTTCCTGAAAGAGGCAGATATAAAGTGTCTATTTTGTGAAGCAAGAATTAACATCCCAAACCAATTTTTCTACCATGTAAATTAAAGTAAAACAAAAATTTGCAGTTGTAGCTTAAGACTTTGGTCTTAAGATAAAACAAACTATCCTGTCAAGTTGTTTATATGTCAGACTGTTTATCACTTTTATTTACTGTTCACTTGTATTTACTGGTCCATTGTATTTACTGTTAAGCAGATCAGAGATAAATAATTATGGTTCTCAAAGATTCAAACAAATAGTGTTTTAGGATTTAAAAAATTAATATAATGGCAAGTTTCTCCCCCATAATCCAAGTTCAGTAATTTTTAAATTAGTTGAATTAAACAAAGTATATATATATTGTAGGTTATGCAGTTTAACCAAACGGAAAAATGTACTACCAAAAAGAAGAGAAAATCAAATCTAAAAGAAATAAAGCAATATTGAGGGAATGTATGCGATTTTAACATGTCAAATTTTCTGCCTGCTATTAACTGTTAACTTCTTAGGGTTGCATCTAGCAACCTAGTCTTCTACTTACATTTCTGCATTTAAAAAATATTAAAAAGCATGTAAGGCCCTGCTCTCTGGTAGGAAACCTGGGAGTACACCTTATAGATTTGCCTGACTGCCTGCTTTCCCTTATTTAGAGCTGCCCTCCTGAGGACTGTAATTGAGATATAGGTCTAGTGTGTGTTCCAGGAGTCAAACAGAATTTAAACTAGAAACCATCCAGACAGGCAATTAATAGCCTATAAGTGCTTATGGGCTGGGAGATGTGGGGAGAGGCTGTGCGCTGTCAAACACATTCACTTAAAAATGCTACATCTCTTTCTAGATCTTTTCATGAGACAGCACACATCCCTAGATACATTGGGAGTATGTGAGGATTTTAAATATTCTTTTTCAATTTTAGGGAGGCAAAATTCCAATTAGATGGACGGCCCCAGAAGCCATAGCTTTTCGAAAGTTCACCTCGGCCAGCGACGTGTGGAGCTATGGCATTGTGATGTGGGAAGTGGTGTCCTACGGAGAGCGGCCCTACTGGGAGATGACCAATCAGGATGTGAGTGCGCAGATGTTCTGTCTCAAGTTGAAAATGAAATGCTTTGTTCTGTGCTTCCAGATGCTTAGGCTGTTTTCATCCCAAAAGGTGACAGTTTCTTGGAAAACCTGGAAACGTTTACTTACACTGTGATGTTTCCTTCTTAACTGGCCTTTGCAGAAGTTGCAAATGAGTTATTACAAAGGAACACGTGTTATAGGCACATACAACCTCTGTCCCTCACCAGAGAGTTTTATCTGTATTACGGCCATGCTTCATCTGCTTTTTGTCTGCGTCAATCTCAAAGATGAAGAAGCCATCAAGAAACAAATCTTGACAAAGTTTTATGATTTGCATTCAATAAAGGCATCTAATAGGCCAAATCAAAAGGAGAAACAATATATAGTGGATGTTCATCAACAATGAAAAAGAATAGTCTATGTTTCTTTAAATTGCAAAACATAGAAGAGTTGTACTGTGTATTTAATTTGCTGGGGGAAAACAAATTTATTTATCCCACAGTAGAAAAATAATTCCTTCTTAGCATAATACAATCTTAATGATAACAGAACCATGAAAGGTTCTATTCAAATCCCAAGTGTTTATGATATGAGGGGTAGTACATGAAACTTCCTTTGGGATTATTGGAAATTTATACTTTTCCTTCAAGCAACCACAATTATGAGAGTAGCTAGCATGTACTAAGTCCTGTCTTAAGTGCTTTACCAATGGATAGCTCATTAGTTCTTTTATTGAATGATTTTCATTCAATAGTGTACTTCTTTGAAACATTTATTTTTCTCTCCAGGTATTTCTTTCCTCTGTGTTTTATGACATCTCTCTCCTGTGCCAGGCCTCCAGGGTTGTTAAACAGACCCTACATATCTCTAGCTGAATTTCATGAAATGGCCCACTCATACCCATATCTCACCCTTATTTTTTGATATACAAATTCAAATTCAGTTTGAATTTAATTCAGTCACATCTATATTTCAAAGTGTTTGCCACAATTGCAGAATCAGCTGGACTCAAACTGTGTACAGTAGGAATGAATGATCAAATTTTTACCCCTTCTCCTCTACCAAAGCCTGTATCTGGATTTTGTAGAATTGATAAGGATGGAGAGCTAGAAAGAAAAAGGCAAGACCTTTTTCTACCATTGGGATGAGGACACTTCTTGGAAAGACATCTGCACCTTTTAAAATCTTTATCAAATTTATTGGTACATTTTTAAATATACAATACAGTTATATTCATCATTGGGATTTTGTACATATCTTTACATGACTTATCTTGCTTCTTATTTTTCCCCATGCCCCAGCCCTTCCTTCAGCCCCTCCACCCTTCCCAGTTTAGAAAGACATTGTTTCCATGTTTTTCATTTTTATATATCTTTTTTCCCCTTTTCCCTTTCCCCTACCCCTCCCACTTCCTCTACTCTTTTCTTCCTATTACACAATATCAATTATAGATTTTGATCCTTATTTACACTTTTAGTTATTCATACCAGAGAAACTTTTTGGTATTTTCACATGTGTGACTTATTAATTTCATTTAAGAGTATGGTCTCAATGTGTGTCCACTTAATATAAATGTCTCTAGTTTCTCATTCTTTATGGCTGAGTAGTATTCCATCTTTAAAAAAAAACACATCTTCTTAATCTAGTCTCCAGTTGATGGGCAATTGGACTGTTCCAGTGCTTTTCTTTTCAGTAAAGCACTTTTTTAGCTATTACAAACTGTGCCACTACACTATGAACATGGGTGAGCATATTTCGCTGTGGTATGATTCTTTTAATTCTTTGGGGAAGATACCCAGCAGAGGAATGCCTGGGTCAAATGGGACTTCTAATCCTAGTTCTTTGAGGTATCTCCATACTGATTTCCACAGTGAATGCACCAGTCTGCACTCCCACCAGCAATGAAGAAGGGTTCCTTTTCAACCACAGCCCCGCCAGAATTTATTATTGGTTGATTTTGTTGATAGCAACCATTCTTACTGGGATGAGGTGGAATATCAGTGTTGTTTTCATCTTTACCTCTCGAATGACAAGTGATGTTGAATATTTTTTCATATGTTTATCTGCTGCTTTTACTTCTTTGTCTGAGAAATGTATCTTCATTTCAGATGACCATTTTTTAATTAGGTGTTTACATTTGGGGGGTCTGATATTTTCAGTTCTTTATATATTCTAGATTGTACACCTTTGTCTGAGGAACAGCTTGTAAATTTTTTTTCCCACATTGTGGGTTATTTCTTAGCTCTGATTGTGATTTCTCTGGCAGCGCAGAAACATTTTTAAAAGATGATATCGCAGTTGTTGATTCTTTTTGCTAGTTCCTGTGCTACTAAGGATTTCTTCATAAAGTCTTTCCTATGCCAATATCTTCAAGAGTCCTACCTAATTTATCTTCCAGCTAGTTTAGTGTGTCTGTTTTAATGTTTATATCTTTAATGCACTTGGATTTTAGTTTAGCACATGGTGAAAGATACAGGTCTAGTTTTAATTTTTGACAAGTTGGAATCCAGTCTTCCCAACACCATTTATTAAAGAGGCTATCTTTCCTCCAATTAGGTGTTTCACTCCTTTCTCAAAGATGAGATAGCTGAGTATGTCTGGAGTTGTTTCTGCTGATCCTTGGGTCTGTTTCTTTGCCAGTACCATGCTGTTTTTATCACAGTAGCTTTGTTGTATAGTTTCAACTGGGGATTGTGATACCCCTTCCATATCTCTGTTGCCTAGAGTGGCTTTTGCTATTCTAAGTCTCATCTGATTCCAAATGAATTTTAGATTGCTTCTCTAGTTCTGTGAAATATACTGTTGGGATTTCAATAGGGATTGCAATGAATCTGTATAGCACTGTTGGAAGTATGGCCATTTTCACTATGTTGGTTTTTCCTACCCAGGAACAAGGGATGTATTTCCACTTTCTTATTTCCTCTGCATCTGTACCTTATATCTCTAGCTGGGCACATTTCTGAGGACTTGCAGGGCCCCTAGTGAAAGTGTCCTGCAGGACCTGACAGGAGGAGGAGGTTCTGCGGCTGCCTCCAGAGCTCCTCTCACTGCCCCCCTTTAACATGTTACAGCCACTACCATCTCTTTGCATCCACCTGCTTTACCAAGGGAAACACATTTGTGCTGGATGCTTTACAGTGAGGCCTCTTTTGCAGGTGCAATCATAGGCTTTTCCAACTGGTCTGCTTTCTCCAAACTTTAAGATATGAGGCCAGGGTCAAAGGCCAGATTTTTGCCCATCATTGACTAACATGCTTCTCTGGTAGTAACAGCAGTCATCCGAGTTGTTCCTCTTGGCTTGAGCAGGGGAGTGCTCACTTGTGTGTGCATAAGGATAGCACCTGTGTCTTTAGCTGGATGATTTTAGGGGCAGGACTGTACTGTTGCTGAGTACCCTACAGAGCTGGGTGCAGTGGCTTGTGTCTGTAATCCCAGAATTCTGCTAGGCTGAGGTCAGACAAGCTCAAATTGAAGGTCATCCCTTGCTTGACTTAGCAAGAGCCCATCTCAAATTTTAAAATATCTAGCTAACTAACTAGCTAACTAACTAACTAAATAAATAAATGGCTGAGGATGCAACTCAGTTAGAAGAGTTTAAGTTCATTCCCTGGTACCAGAAAAAAAGCTATCATTTAATTCCTCTTATATAAATGTATCAATGTATATATAGTTTCACATATATCAGTATATTATGTATGTGCACATTGGTATAACTATATAGACATTTATACACTCATATATATTACTTTATATTTAAGTAATCCCTTAGGGAGGTGATGTTGTGCCTTTGTCATACAGTGAAGAAGTTGAGCCTTAGCAAAGTTAAATGGCACCGTGGTGCACACCTGTAATTCCAGCACTTGGAAGGTTGAGTCCGGAGGATCACTATAAGTTCAAGGCTAGCCTGAACTACATAGTAAGTTCAAGGCCAGCCTGAACTGCATAGCAAAACTGTATGAAAAGAAAGACAAAACAATAGGAAAATTATTTTATTAAGGTCTCTCAAAAGTTATACCAAAAATTTCGAACTGTTCTCCCAGTTTTTTGTTTTTGTTTTTGTTTTTTTAATCTGACCACTACAGTGTCTCCAATGGCATCATGGTCCTCTTTCCTTTCTAGTCATCAGCCTTCTGATTGTGTATGAAACAGGAGGTCAATATACAATTACTATTTTGAATTGTTCTAGTTGGGAGCAAGATCTATTTACTACTCTCTCTTTTCCTGATAAGTGCCAAATGATTATAAAGCCTACAGGCTACTACATAATTGGGCTTCTAAGGTAGCTTGAAGGTTGTTTCCATTTCATCATTCTATTTAATTTGTATAAAGTTGCTTTACTTTTTTTTTTTTAAGTCCTGTGGGTTGAACCCAGGGCCTGTATACTGAACTATATGCCCAGTTATTTTATTTTATTTATTTATCTTTTAAATTTTCAGTCGGAATCTCACTAAGTTGCTAAGAAGCCCAGAGTGGGCTGAGACTTGCAATCTTCCTACCTCAGTCTCCAGGAGGAGAGATTCGCGGAGTATGCCACCAGGCACACCTTCAGTGCTTCTCCACATCTGCTCCTTTCTCTGTATCTATCTCAATCAAGGGAAATATTTAGCCCCTGATCGTCTAGCTAAGTCCTACTCACACTTGACATATTTTGAGTTCTGCTTCTGTCAATTACAATCATTGGATTTTGCCAACTGTGTGGCTGATTGTCCCATTATTGATAATCATGTCTGATGTCATTGTAACTGTAACAGAGGAAAGTGTAGATCAGAATGGAGCACAGTGCTAGGTGAATGCTCGGAAGTACTTCCGCTGATGCTGTCTAGGTTGGCTCGTGTTCCTAGGGCAGTGGAAACATGCGACGCTCTCTGCTGTTCTCCGCCAGCCTCCCATCGTCCACCAAGATGAGCAAAGTAGCCTAAACCTGACTTCATTTGTCAAGTGGCCACAATTCAAGAGCAGTACAGTCGCACCTTAGACATCAGCAAGTCTGTTAAGAGGCCC